ACCATGTTGGCGGGGCTGGTCTTAAACTCCTGACCTCAGGTGATCCATCAGCCTTGGACTCCCAAAGTGCTGGGATTACAGGTATGGGCCACCACACCCAGCCTACTATCTTATCTTTAGTGCGTCCTGGATTTTTACAATTCATTTTTCAGCTAACATCATCTTCCTCTTTGATAACTACAGTGAATGACACTGACTTTGAATTTTACACCATGTATTCCTGAGATAAACTCCATTTGTTTAGTCCGTTCTAATTTGAAAATGAGAATTTGTTCCAATGGGATTGACATATTAGGGAACAATAGCAGCATAATACAAATTTCCTATTTGCTTATATACGATCTCATTGGTGAAAAACTAGGTGAACACAGAAAACTGTGTTTAATTCTGCATCCAACAGAATCAAACCACCTGGAGATATTCCCAACACACACCCTAAATATCTATCAGCCATCTCTCTTTACCGCCTGTTATGAGCCACACCCAGTTTACACCTAGTGTTATGTCTCTCTTTACCGCCTGTTATGAGCCACACCCAGTTTACACCTAGTGTTATGACTTCCCAACTTTAGAAAATCCTCCTTCCACAGCTACACAAAAGCGCACAAGTTGCAACTCTCCTGATGTCCACTTGCACAAACCAAACCTCAGGGCTTATATGGTGTAGTGATTATTTTTCAGCCATTTACATGTGGACTGGTATAACTCTTGTGCTCCTATCTTTTCTCCCATTGTGTCACTGATGAAGGTTCTGAGTATTGTGTACCTATCTTCTCCATAAGCTCTGATAAGCTCTGTGGTGTTTATTCATCATGTTGGATGGTATGGTATGGGGATTATTTTAGAAACACACAGGTTGCATCATAGCAGAACTAAGTGCATTGTCTTTTTATTTAGATATATTGCTGGACTTGGTAAGATTTAATTAAGATATCCATGTCTAGTTCACGTATACGTCAAAAGTAAAGTAGAAGTTCTTCTTCAAAGACTTTCCTCCTCATCTAATTAGGAATAAATAGTAACTTCTCTCAGAAGCAAAAATTGTTTTCAAAGACATGTGCTAACATTCTTAAATAATCTGCTAGCCGTGATGAGGAAATCAACGTACTTTATGTTCTCAGCGCCCACAATTTAGCCTGAATTTTCCCTGGCATGCTTATGGTGGTCCAAGCAAGCATTAGGGCATAGCCTGCTGCTCTTCCTTATTTGAAGGTGATTTTACCTTTCTCAACATTCCTCCTTCCTTTGTTCTGCTCTCTGCCTTTGTCTCTTTTAAAAAGTTCTAAGTTGCTAGTCAATCAGGACAAATAAGGAAGGTGAGGTCCCATTCCAGCCAATGGAAACAACAGTAAGGTAGATGCATCAGGTTATAAATGATCCTCTTTGTTTGGTGTATTCTCGCGACAAAACTGATGGCGAGTGCACCCATTCTGCACAAAGTAAAAACGGCCTTGCTGAGGAAACTGAATTTATGTTCAAGTGCTATTTCTTTACGGCACCAAGAAGACGGAGTCTTGCTCTGTCGCCCAGGCTGGAGTGCAGTGGCACCAGCTCGGCTCACTGCAAGCTCCGCCTCCCGCGTTCACGCCATTCTCCTGCCTCAGCCTCCCGAGTAGCTGGGACTACAGGCGCCCACCACCATGCCTGGCTGATTTTTTGTATTTTTAGTAGAGACGAGGTTTCACCATGTTAGCCAGGATGGTCTCGATCTCCTGACCTTGTGATCCGCCCGCCTCGGCCTCCCAAAGTGCTGGGATTACAGGCGTGAGCCACTGCGCCCGGCCGAAACAAGCATTTCTAACATGTATTAGTCTGTAGTTTTCTTGTCATTTATAACAGGATAATGCTGGCTTAATAAAATAGGCTGGTAGGTGTTTCCTACTCATCTATTTTGTGAAAAAGTTTGTATAAGATTTATATTAATCCCAGCACTTTGGGAGGCCGAGGCGGGCAGATCACGAAGGCAGGAGATTGCGACCATCCTGGCTAACACGGTGAAACCCCATCTGTACTAAAAATACAAAAACAAAATTAGCTGGGCGTGGCGGCGGGCGCCCGTAATCCCAGCTACTTGGGAGGCTGAGGTGGGAGAATGGTGTGAATCCGGGAGGTGGAGCTTGCAGTGAGCCGCGATCGTGCCACTGCACTCCAGCCTGGGCGGCAGAACGAGACTCCATCTCAAAAAAAAAAAAAAAGATTTATATTACTTCTACTGCCTGCCACATACACCTTTTCTCATTTTTTAATTTCAGTTTTCTTTTTTTTTTTTGGTGAGATGGAGTTGCACTCTTGCTGACCAGATTGTAGTGCAATAGTCAATCTTGGCTCACCACAACCTCCACCTCCCAGGTTCCAGTGATTCTCCTGCCTCAGCCTCCCAAGTAGCTAGGATTACAGGCCTGCGCCACCACGCCTGGCTAATTTTGTATTTTTACGAGAGACGGGGTTTCTCCATGTTGGTCAGGCTGGTCTCAAACTTCCCACCTCAGGTGATCCGCCTAGCCTCCCAAAGTGCTGGGATTACAGGCTTGATCCATCGTGTTTTGAGATGGAGTTTCGCTCTTGTTGCCCAGCCTGCAGTGCAATGATGGAATCTCAACTCATTGTAACTTCCACCTCCCAGGTTCAAGCGATTCTCCTGCCTCAGCCTCCCGAGTAGCTGAGATTACAGGCATGTGCCAACACGTCCAGCTAATTTAGTATTTTTTTTAGTAAAGGTGGGATTTCTCCATGTTCGTCAGGCTGGTCTCCAACTCCAAACTTCAGGTGATCTGCCCATCTCAGCCTCCCAAGGTACTGGGATTACAGGTGTGAGCCACTGCATCCAGACAATTTCTACTTAGTTTTTGAGATGGAGTCTTGCTCTGTCCCTAGGCTAAAGTGTTGTGGTGCGATCTCAGCTCACTGCAACCTCTGCCTCCCGGGTTCAAGTGATTCTCCTGCCTCAGCCTCCCAAGTAGCTGGGTCACAGGCATGCACCACCATGCCCAGATTTTTCCATTTTCAGCAGAGCTGGGGTTTCACCGTGTTGGCCAGGTTGGTCTCGAACTCCTGACCTCAAGTGATCCTCCCGCTTTGGCCTCCCAGAGTGCTGGGATTACAGGCGTGAGCCATCACGCCCGGCCAGTTACATTATTCCTAATGACAATTCAGTGGTCACTCCTCTTACCTTCAATCCTTTGTATGTAATGAATTTCTTTGTTCTGGCTACATTTGTTTTTTTTTCTTTCCTCGAGACAGGGTCTTACTCTGTCACTCAGGCTGGAGTGCAGTGACACGATCACAGTTCACCACAGGCTTGACATCTCAGGCCGAGGTGATCCTCCTACCTGAGCCTCTCAGGTAGCTGTGATTACAGGCACCCCCCAGCAAGCCCGGCTAATTTCCCTATCTTTTGTAAAGACAGGGTTTCACCATGTTGCTCTTGAACTCCAGGGCTGCAGTGATCCACCCACCTTGGCCTCCCAGAGTGCTGGGGTTACAGGCGTGAGCCACCACAACAGGCCTGTTCCGGCTACTTTTAAAGATCTCTGTTTATCTATGGTCTATTTGCTTATTACGTGCTTTGGTGTGCTTTTCTCTATTACATCTTCTGCTTGTTGTTTCATCAGTAGTTTCTGGTAGCTTGTTATGATGCATCCTGGTATAGTTTTCTTTATATTTATTTTGCCTGCTATTTTTCAAGCTTCCTGGATCTGTGCATTTATAACTTTGCTGAAATTGGACAATTCCCAGGCATTATTTTTTCATGATTTTTGTTTCCCTGTCTTCTCTGTGAATATAATCCATATATTAGACTGTTTACAGGGTACCAAAGGACATTGAGGACACGTTCAATTTCTTTTTTTTTTCTAGCTTTTCCCTTACTGTGCTTCTACTGTCCTTTCACTTTTGCAGTGTATAATGTGCTGTCAGGCTTATGATGAAAATTTCTTATTTCGGTTGTATTTTAATCTTTTGAAGTTCCACTTGGTTCTCTGTTGTATCTTTCATTTATCTTATTATATTCATGTTTTCCTTTAAGTAATAGAGTTCTTCTTTGCCATTCTATTGTCTCTGTCATTTCTGGATCTGTTTCTATTGCCTGATTTTTCTCCTAATTATGTTCAGGTTTTGCTTCTTTGATGCCACACAATTTTCTACTAGATATTGTGAATGTTACACTGTAAATGCCTGGATTTTTTTTTTTTTTTTTTTTTTTTTTGAGACAGGGTTTCATTCTGTCACCCAGGCTGGAGGCTTGAGTGCAGTGGCATGATCTCAGCTTACGGCAGCCTCAACCTCCTGGGCTCAGGTGAGAGGAATTACAGGTACATGCCACCATGCCTGGCTAGTTTTCATATTTTCTGTAGAGACAGGGTTTCACCATGTTGCCCAGCCTGGTCTTCAACTCCTGAGCTTAATCCTCTGCCTGCCTTGACCTCCCAAAGTGCTAAGATTACAGGTGAGAGCCACCATGCCTGGCCTGGAGGATATTTCTGAAATGGGTCACTTACATAGCCATTGGCAGGCCTTGGTTCCTTACTTGGTGGGCTTCCCTGTAAGCTGCTTGAGTGTTTTCTAGACGTGGCAGCTGGCTTCCTCCAGAGTGAGTAATTTGGGAAAAGGCAAGGTGGGGGCCACAATGTCTTTCATGACCTAGTCTTAGAAAACCACACACTTTCATTTCCACAATGTCCCGCTGGCTACACAGGTAAAACCCTACTCAATGCAGGAAGGGTTAAGAAAAGGTTGTGAATACCAGGAGACACGAATCACTGGAGGCCACTCTGGAGCTGAGCTGACACAACGAGTAAACTCTCACTACATGTAAATAAGGCAGGGACAGAAAAATAATTTTGCTTCTCAGGAAAATTTTCGAATGAATATACATATATTTGTTCAAATTCCCAAGTTATTTGACTCTGCCTCTTACTTTACAGATCATGTTATTATACTCCAGAGATTGGAAGGGGGAGATACTTATTTAGTAAATTGGAGACTATAAATTAATTTCTTACCGACCACCATCAGTGTGAACTCAAAACCTTTTTTCACTGATTTTCGGTGAACTTGATTGGGGAGATTTGCAAATCCAACATAGCCAGGAGTTTCTGGATTTATAAACTGAGTTGGCTGTTGCTAAACAAGATTAAAAACAAACAAACACCTTAGTAGTTGCTTTTAAGATATAATCAGACGTGAAACATAGGTTATCAGTAGTTTTCACAAATTGTTTTAAAAGTATAAACAAACACTTCCAGAAAGTCACACTTCTATCAGAAAACCAGCAGTATTCAATCAGGAGCATTAAAAAAAGAAAAACTAATCTAGTGTAACTCTTTAGTTATATGCTGACTGAAAATTAACACTGTGTTAATCAGTATTGTTTAGGAATTTAACAATACATGGAAGACACATGCTTAATACATCTTAACGCAATTTCAAATTTTGACTTGAGAGACTATGGAGTTCCAGGAAAATCAGTTAAGCTTACAAAGTACTGCTACAGCTGACAGTACTTTGAATGAATGGTTTCATTCAACAAACTTGGCTAAAGAATAGCTTCCCCCAGGTATTAGGTTTGTGATGCATTTCTGAAAAGTATCCACGAAAAAGGCATCTCTCTTGCTGGGATTCTAGCTCTATAGAATAGTTTCACCGAGGGTGAGGCAGGCAAATTAGAGGTGGGAATGTTGAGTATCTAGCGTCAAAGACCAAGAAAGAACAGACAGAATGAGAAGATCATAGCTGACTACACTGAGGCATCAATATTTCTTGGTAGAATATCTGATGAGAGAGAGGACAGAGATGTGAGAAGACAAGAATAGCAGAAGTAAAACCAGAATCTAGACAGTGGCACACTGAGAATGAGAAGAAATTTAAAAAATCAATTAATTAATTGAAAAAGGCAAGATATAAAATAGTATTTCCTTTAGGACTACATTTTGCAAATGTATAGTCAAATGCACACACGGGTGAAAAAGAATATATGTAGCATATTAACAGTGGTTATTTCTGAGTGGTGAAAAAAATGACTTTTTTTTTTTTTTTTTGCTTATCCGTGTTCCACGCTAACACTGGTATAAAATGCAAAAACTGGTATGATGATTTTGCATTGGATAGTAATGAACACCCATAGGACTCAAAGATAAAAAACCAGAGAAATAATAATCTTGCAACGTTAACCACAAGTTCTGCTTTTCTCAGCATGTTCTTTAGAACTAATTTCTCTCTGAACTAACTTGTAAGGGCTGATTTAAACCAATTTATCAAGTCTAAGAGCCCCATCAATTTCATCATAATAAATTATTAGAATTCTAAATTATTTGGTCTGCTGGGAATGTACTAAGGGGGCTAAAAGGACTGTTACTGATGTGTGTGAAAAAAAAAAAAAAAGTAGAAGCCTGAAAAAAAAGAGAAAGTTCCAAGCTTTCAAGATGACAACCAGGCCGAGCGCGGTGGCTCACGCCTATAATCCCAACACTTTGGGAGGCCAGGGCAGGTGGATCACGAGGTCAAGAGATCAAGACCACCCTGGTCAACATAGTGAAACCCCATATCTACTAAAATACAAAAAATTAGCCAGCGTGGTGGCAAGTGTCTGCAGTCCCAGCTACTCCAGAGGCTGGAGGCTGAGCCAGGGGAATCACTTGAACATAGGAGGCTGAAGTTGCAGTGAGTTGACATCATGCCACTGCACTCCAGCCTGGTGACAGAGCAAGACTCCCGTCTTAAAAAATAATAATAATGAGGCCGGGTGCGGTGGCTCAAGCCTGTAATCCCAGCACTTTGGGAGGCCGAGATGGGCAGATCACGAGGTCAGGAGATCAAGACCATCCTGGCTAACACGCTGAAACCCTGTCTGTACTAAAAAAAAAAAAAACACAAAAAACTAGCCAGGTGAGGTGGCGGGCGCCTGTAGTCCCAGCTACTCGGGAGGCTGAGGCAGGAGAATGGTGTAAACCCGGGAGGAGAAGCTTGCAGTGAGCCGAGATCGCGCCACTGCACTCCAGCCTGGGTGACAGAGCGAGACTCCGTCTCAAAAAAAAAAAAAAAAGAAATTATAATAATTAAAAAAAGACAACTAAATTAGAACTCTTTGTCTTACTGAATCAAATACATCAGTTGTATTAAAAATAATGAATCGTATAAATCCAACAGTCTGAAAACATAAAGCAATTTCTCCTTATGCTGTAGATACATGAAGCATGATCTTACCTTAGACATCTTTTGTGAAGCTTCGTCTGTTAAAAAGAAAAACACACAGACACACATAAACGCACATACATAGTATGCATGTATACACACGTATATTTAACAGAATGAACTGACCTGTAAAAACACTTACACATAGGCAATGTAAAAAGAAAATACAATTTCAGAACCTTCCAAATTTATTTTGCCAAAGGGAAAAGTTAGGCGCTGACAGCGGGCTCGTGTGATATTACTACTTTCATTCTTTCTGACTTTTGTGTTTAGATGTACACATTAACCAGACTCCCTATTCTTTATTCAAACCTAGACTAAACGACTGGGAGATAAGAGATCCTTATGACTGTTACTTCTTTACAAAAGGAAGTTAAACAAATCCCTTCAAGTGTAATCAATAGTAGCCAATCAAATTTGTAACTTTAAATGAGCCTTAGTACAGAAAATGTTGTAATTCTGTTTGGCACCTTCATTTTGCCTATATAAACAATCCTCATTTTACCCCACCCTGGGAGCACTAATCACCATTCTTTGGTGTAGCTCTGCTTATACTTTGTACTTAAATGAATTCTTTTAACTGAATCAGGAGCCTTTTGATTATTTTAGGTGACAGCATCTCAATTACTTCAATTATTTCCCTAGGAATAAGACAAGCATCTATCATTACAAGGGTTAAATTCGATTTAAAAAAATAGGCTAGGTGTGGCACTCTCGCCTGTAATTCCAGCACTTTGGGAGGCCAAGGTAGGCAGACCACTTGAGGTCAGGAGTTCGAGATCAGCCTGGCCAACATGGTGAAACCCCATCTCTACTAAACATATTGATTCAGCCAGGCGCGGCGGCATGTGCTTGTGATCCCAGCTACTCAGGAGGCTGAGACAGGAGAATCACTTGAACCTGGGAGGTAGAGGTTGCAGTGAGCTGAGATCATGCCACTGCACTCCAACCTGGGCGACAGAGCGAGACTCCCTATTAAAAAAAAAAAAAAAAATTAGATGGTGGCTGGGTGCAGTGGCTCATGCCTGTAATCCCAGCACTCTGGGTAGCAGAGGCAGGATTGCTTGAAGCCAGAAATTCAACACCAGTCTGGGCAACATAGCAAAACCCTACCTCTACAAAAAAATTAAAAAATTAAAAAGAATTTTAAGTTGATAAAAACAACTATCTATACATGTACACATATATTCCATATTTTCAATAATATTCCAATTTTTTTCAGTACTGATTATATGTTAGACACTAGGGACACAAATGGGATACACACGGATATACACTTCCCTGACCTCTGGAATTATGTCATTTCCCCTCTCTCTTTGAAACCTTTCAAGGAGTAAGGGACGCCATTACATACAGACTGTAACATGAATATGTTTGCCACCCATCTGAGTTTCCTAGAGCTACCTGAGAACTAGAATTTGACACTGGGGTACAGGGAGCAACGTGAACTACATTTATGAGGAAAGGAAATAGGACTGAAGGCATCTGAGTGTTTGAGAAATGTGACAGTAGTTTTAAAGATACGTGGAATTTTTATTTTCTTTTTGAGATGCGTCTGGCTAATTTTTTTTTTTTTTTTTGTATTTTTAGTAGAGACGGGGTTTCACCGTGTTAGCCAGGATGGTCTCGATCTCCTGACCTCGTGATCTGCCTGCCTCGGCCTCCCATAGTGCTGGGATTGCAGGTGTGAGCCACCGCGCCCGGCCAGAGATAGTGGAATTTTTATACAAATGTTAGAAACCCTGAAGCTTTGGAAAGCATGGAGTCTGTCGGCTCACTTTCAGTAACACCACCAAGAAAGAGGACTGCTGTCAAATTTTATTCCCTGTGGAGCTCAGAAACTTATTAAAAAGCTTCTCTCACTTTGCCTCTCGATTCCCCTCCCCCAAATCTTAACTTCCTGAATACTGTGTACTCTGTTTCCCCTTTGACTGGAAATGTTCCCAACTACCTTGGAAGAAATGAGATCCCTGCATCCCCAGTGTTATTTGGCTTGGTTAACCGAAGGATGGTAGCAGAAAGATTCAGGAGCCTTTAACCTCAGCAAAACCTAAGAATTGAGGGCAAGTGTGAGTGTGGAGTAGAACTTCCTAAAGGGAAACAGAACGGTCAGATGGAATATAGACAGTTTTGGCAGAAGGAGTTGGCATCTTGTTTTCAAATAATATACAGGTAAGTATCTGATTATGAAAGTTAAAAAAAATAATTGTTAAAATAACATATTAAGAGAAAAATAAGGAGGAAATAGCAACTTCATCAAACCAGCAAAAATACGGAAAAGGAACAAGAAGAAACAAAATCAGAAGTAATCCTAAATCAACACAATGGGGACAAAATTCAAGAACATCAGTCATCAGTACAAATGTGAAATAACCAAATTATCTGCTTAGAGGAGGAGACAGATTGGCCTAAAAAACAAAAAAATAGTCCAGCTATAAGGTATATGCTTAAAACAAAGGAACAAAGAAAGGCTGAAAATAAAGGGACAAGGTAAAAAATAGCAGGCTAGTACAAACATGGAGGAGCCACAACACTATTATCAGCCAAGGTGGGAATCAGAGTAAAAATAACTAAGCAGAATAACAGGGATAACAAGTTATAATGATAAAAGCAACAATTTATAGGGAAGATACAATATTCATAAGCCTATATGTTCAAATAATCACTGTAGATAAACACATAAAGCAAGGACTAGGAAAAATACAAAGTTAACTTAAGAAAAACACAATTCAAGTGAGAAACTTTAATAGTTCTCCGAGAACTGGACAGATTCAGTAAACACAGTATGTGCAAGGACAGAGAAGAATTGAGTACTACAACAAATAAATCTGATTTAGCAGACACAGAGAAACTTGAATCAATACCTTAAAAGATGTTTAAAGTCATATATCTACCATAAAAAAAAAAAGCCTAACCAAAATTTGAAAAACATTTTTACAGTCAATGTTCTCAAATAATGATCTGCTTAAATTGGGGGGAAAAAGATGAAAAGTAACTCCCAGTAATTTGTAACATTACTGGATATCCCTGGGATCAAGGAGAGTAACAAAAGCAAAGCCACAAGCAATCTCTAGAAAGCAATGGAAGGAAGATAAAAGCAAAACTTACAAGATACAACAGGAAATCAATAAAGAGAAAAAATGAATTATGAGCCGGGAAAAAAGAAAAGTAAACAAATCCAAAAGTTGGTTTTCTTTTTGTTTTTTGGAGATGGAGTTTCATTCTTGTCGCCCAGGCTGGAGTGCACTGGCGTGATCTCAGCTCACTACAACCTCTGCCTCCCGGATTCACACAATTCTTCTGCCTCAGCCTCCGGAACAGCTGGGATTATAGGTGTCCGCCACCACACCCAACTAATTTTTGTGTTTTTAGTAGAGATGGGGTTTTACCATGTTGGCCAGGTGAAACCTCCTGACCTTAGGTGATCCACCCATCCTGGTTTCCCAAAGTGCTGGGATTACAGGCGGGAGCCATCACGCCCGGCCTCAAAAGCTGGTTTTCTAAAACAAATTCCTCACAAGCCCAATTAAGGAAAAAATAGCAAATATAGAAAAGAGCTAAAATAATGACAGAGGAGTCCACATGTAGCAAAATGGCCACAAATCTGAAAATGTAAAAAAAGGGCACCGTAAATTACCAACACAGAACCAAAAACTGGAAAATCTGCAGGAAACGAGTATCACTGAGCAGCTGATTAAAGATACCAGTGAAAAGGACCAAGACTTGACGTTAGAGTTGAACTCCATCTAACCTTGGACAAGACCAAAGTCATTTAACTATTCCAAGCCTCTACTGAAAAAAGGGAAAACCGTTTGTTCTATGAAGACAGCACAGTTTCAGTAACCAACCCAGACGGAGACATAAGAAAGGAACAAAGGAATGAATGAACACCATAGGTCAATCTCACTCACAAATAAAAATGCTAAAATCCTGAGTAAAATATTTGCTAGCAATTAGATTGCAGGAATGTACCAAAAGCATCTATCAATATTAATCTAACAACACAATACTGGGAAAAAAAAATCATGCATTAATAGATGCTGATGAGACATATAAAATTCAGCAACCAAACGTAATGAAAACACTAAGAAAACTGCTGGCAAAGTGTGGTGGCTCACGCCTGTAATACCAGCACTTTGGGAAGCTGAGGCAGGAGAAGCGCTCGAGCTCAGGAGTTCAAGACCAGCCTGGGCAATGTGGTGAAACAGTGTCTCTACAAAAAATACAAAAAAATTAGCTGGGTGTGGTGGCGGGCACCTGTAGTCCCAACTAAGTGGGAGACTGAGGTGGGAGGATCCCTTGAGCCCAGGAGGTGAAGGCTGTAGTGAGCCGAGATGGTGCTCCTGCATTCCAGTCTGGGTGACAGAGTGAGACTGTCTCAAAAAAAGAAAAAAAGGAAAACTGCTTAAATCTAATCAGAATATTTCTGAAAACCAATGGCAAATGCTATTCTCTAAACAATAGAAAATTAAATCTATTTAAATGACAACCGATAATTAGGCAGGAATGCCTTTCCATAATTATTTTAAAACACTTACATGAAAACTTTTACATGAAGACCTATACAAAAAGCGAACAAAACCCTCATGTGCTGTCCATTATCCAGCTTCAACAATTAGCAACTCAAGGTCAATAATGTTTCATCTATTTCCACAATCATCACTGCCACTGCCTGGATGATTATGAAGCAAATACGAGATACAACATTTCATTTATATTCCACTATGCATATCTAAAAATAAGGGCTCCTAAAAATGACAAACCATCACCCATAGCTAGTTCCTTAATGCAATCAAATATCCAATCAGTATTCATATTCCCCATTCTCTCATTTTTTTTATGTGAATCAAGATCCAGGTAAGATGTAGACACTGCAATTTCACCATGATTATTTACTACTACCTTGGTGAGTTTACTGAATATAATGAAACAAGAAAATGAAAACAAAACACTTTTTTGCTGATTGGACTGAATACACAGAAAATACAAATACTCGGCTGGGCGCGGTAACTCATGCCTGTAATCCCAGTACTTTGGGAGGCCGAGGGGGGCAGATCACGAGGTCAAGAGATTGAGACCATCCTGGCCAACATGGTGAAACCCCATCTCTACTAAAAACACAAAAATTAGCCAGGTGTGGTGGCGCAGGCCTGTAGTCCCAGCTACTTGGGAGGCTGAGGCAGAATCGCCTGAACCCAGGAGGCGGAGCTTGCAGTGAGCTGAGATCACACCACTGCACCAGCCTGGTGAGAGCAAGACTCCGTCTCAAAAAAAAAAAAAAAGAAAATACAAATATTCTGGTTAAAAAAATTCTAGAATAAGATAATTTAGTAAGGTAGTTGAATATAATACCTCAAGTAAGTCAAGTACCAGCAATGAATATCAAGGAATAGAAAAGGGGGCACATCATTTACAACAGAGTTTTTAAAAATCCAAACAAGTAGGGACCAAACTAGAAAACAGGTCCTACATAAATCAAATCACTTTTATTTTCCCCAAATCAGCATATAATTTAGTCCATTTCTAACTGGAATCCCTAATGGTGTGGCTTTTTTCTTAAACGATTGGATAAAATGAGCTTCAAGTTCACATGGAAGGATTAAATGCCAATTCTGAGGATAGAAAAGATCAGGCACTTGCCTTACTACCTATTACATGCATCTGATTTCAAACCCACACAGTGCAACATAAAAATACCATAGAGCACCTCTCCCACACCTCCACAGAACCCCCTCAGCCTCACTGAACCCTGTGCACACATATGGGAAAATGGAGAAACCATTTGTCTTAAACTGACATTTCAACTTTGCTTTGACTTCACCAAGTTTCTCCTGCTATCTGTTTTTTTCAGAAACGTAACTTGGATCCACAATGTTTTCTCTCATAATTCATTAACTAATGTGAAATGGAAGGTGAAAGACGAATAATGAACCTTTGAAGCACATGGTTTTCAGTGAGAAAGCCTTGATCCAGCAACACAAACTGCCAACCACTGTGATTAACTTAAACACTGGGTGCAAATTGGATCAAAAATGTAGTCAAATGAAAATTTTATTTCTTCAGATCGTGTTTATTCCACATGCCAGAAGTTGTTTAAAGTTCTTTAATCTTGACCCACAGCTTATTTCTTCCACAGAAGACGCGCATCCCAATACATATAAAAAACCACTTTTCCCAAAACAAAAGATACAAGATGAAGAACATCCTGCCATGTAGAACTCGAAAGGTCCATGATCTCTTATTCAAAGCATCTGGATTCTTTGGGTTTGGGGAAGGTCCACGTTCAGCATAATTACATAACACTCCTAACAGGGACTGGGACAGGGATAAGTGGCATGTATGACCACTAACAGAATAGACTATACAAATGGCCTCACCTCAATTCTGCCGCCAAATGAGTTTCGGTGTTCCCTTTCCTCCACACGCGCGCGCACACACACGCGCACACACACACACACACAAAACAAAACAACAGCAACAAAAACCCACAACTTTTTCTTTTACAGCAGTTTCTGTATGCTGGTATTGGGAATAAAAAGGGGCCCTGAGTTACATTTATGAATGATAGAGGGAAACCCGGGCCCCTTTCCCTAGGTCACACTGGTAGTTTAAAAGTCAGTCAGAATGTAAATCTAGTCTAATTAAAACGCTCTTGTTCTTTATTCTGGGCTGTGGCACTGGTGAGAGAGATCAAGGTGGAAGTCGGGGAAAAAAAATCAGGACAACCTTTATAGCTAATGAGATCAATGCCAAAATGAGACATAACAGTACACATCGTGAGTTAGGATGCTGGGTGGTGCCAAGAATCCACTAATGGGAGCTATCAAAAAATCAGTGAAAACAATGAAGCTCAAATCAGAAGTATCAAGAATCAGTTTTCATGACCCCTACACCATCATATTTTTCTTTATGACCGCAAAACTATTTTGAAACACTAAATATATCGCCAAGCACTGCGATTTAAGTCATTCGAAAAGTACTTGAGAATCTACTAGGCGACAGACACCAACCGAGGCAATGGGTATGGGTGACAATATTAACATGTGCCCTGCCCCTCACGGTACCAACAGTCCAGTGGACAAACACCATCTGGAACATGAGGCAAACACCTAAGCTTGTCTGGAGGAAATCTAATTTGGGCGGAATCCCACAAGCAGGGACTAGGCAAGGAGAAGGCAGTTAAGGTGGGAGGTAACCAGATTTAAGAGTTTTTGGGCCATAGCCAGAAGTGTGGAAGTTTGAACTACAAGAAGTCCAGTACAGTTGGGTCATGCGTTTGCGTGGACAGAGGGTCTGGGGGTACCGACAAGAATTAGACCGAAAACGTAAAAAACCAACGAGGTGTTATCTGGGCCCGAAGGCCAGGTCACAGTTGGGACTTCACTGAGATTATGGAGACCACAGGTTTGCTTCTCCTCCCCGGACAAACTCGGCGGCCTCCAACCCCATCCCCTACCCCCTGCTGCCTGTCCGTGCCTCGCTGGTGCAGCCCTTCGTCGCCTCTCCTCGCCGAAGGTACCCGCAGGCAGGGCCTAGTGGCTCTCTCCCCGCTTATCCGCCGCATCCAGTCGATGGGCTTGGAGGTTTGGGAGCTGGCCAGTCCTCCACGCCTCCGGGAGGAAATGGCACCGTTAGAAAGACAAGATGGCCACACAAGCGCTAAGTGTTCCTCGGGTCTAAACCTGTATCCTCCCTCCAAGCACCAAACCTCCCGACCTCGGCGGCACTCGACGCCCCGAGGCCCAGAACCGACGACCGCGCAGTGGAATTCCCTTAGGGTCGCCAGGGGGTCACCGGAATCCCCACTCCCGCGCCCGGCCCTGCCCGTGTCGGAGCCACTGTCACCGGCACTAGGACCGCCCGGGACAGCGAAGCCCACGATAGGGGCCGAAGAGCCCGGGCCCGGCCGCCCCTCCCCCACCCCGCCCCGCCGGCACCCCAGGGCGGGCCGACCACCCCCGGAGGGTATGGGACGAGCGGGGCGTCCTCCGCACCTCCTCGGGAGGGCCGGCCCGCAACTTGTGCCCCCGCCACGGCGGCGTACACTGGCTAGACACTCACCCGCCAAACAGCCCGAGAATAGGCACCGACCGACCGCACCGCGGACCCGCCCAGAGCCCGCGGCCGGCTCACACCCCGTCCCGCCCAGCGCGCAGGCGGATTGCGTCACCGCGTCACCCCGCCCCTTTGCCAACTCCTTCCTGGCTCAGCGCGGCCCGGCCTTCTTCCCCTCCCCCATGCGGCCGGCTTCCGAGTGCGCAAGCCCAGACTCTTTCGCGTTGTCCGCCTCTGCGCAAGCGCCGTGCTCCTCCCACGGCGGTTGGCCATATAGAGTCTGGGGGTGGGGGGGAGGTCAAGCGTAGCCTCTTCTCCTTTACCAAGATGGCGGCTTGTCCCTGTTTCGCCACAGTTCCTACCTTATGAGCTCGGTTTTCTTATGCTAATAAGAGTGGAACAGGTAATGAGAATCTTCGCCTTGCGGTGGGTAACTGGAGTCGGGGGAAGGCCGTTTGTTAGAAGGAGACAGGTGCCCACTGAGGAGGAGAGAGGCGGTCGGGGGAGGGCAGGTGGTGGCGGGAGTGCGGAGCGATCACGGGGAGGGGGAGCCTTCGCCTCTGCTCCTGTCCTCCAGGAAGATGGCGGCAGCACCGAGCTGGGGCGCCGAGGACGACTGGGCGGGGGACGGCGAGCGGCCACGCGAAACTGGTCTAGCCCACCACCGCCGCCGTCTCGATGATCGCGGGGCCTTTCCGGGATTGGCTGCGCGCACGTCACGTGGGGCCGATGGGCCCTGCGCAGACCATCGAGTCGGGCGTCCCTCCCCGGGGACGTGGCCTTCCTGTGCCCGGGCTGGGGCCCGCCGCCCCGCGGGGGAGGGCGGAGCTGGCGCGGCCCCTAGCTTTCTCCTTCTGGTGTGGGGCCCGAGGTGAGACCTGGGGAGTGCCCCGCAAGCCCACGAGCAGCGACGTGGCTCGGGGACGGGAGGGTGCCGTGCCTGGCTGCGGCCTGAGCGGGATGGGCGCGGGCGGCTCCGGCCCGCGGGTTGTGCCCCGGCCCGGGGTGTCCTTCCCTCCCTCCCGCGTGGCCTGGAGGCACTGCCACTGTCCGAGACTCACGTCAAGGCTCGGCGCAAATACCCCTCGTTCAGGAAGCCTTCCTAGGTTTCCCCCGCTTAGAGGAAGCACTTCCTGAGTTCCTAATGGCTGCCCCGCATGGTGTTGGGAACCTGAGCCTTTCTGACACCGTGGCATGTTGCTAGGGTATTTTTGTGCGTAGCTCCTTTGAAAAGGGATTAGGTGCTCAGGGCTAGCTGCTACATATCCTCTCCATTCGACTTAGAAAATGAGAGGGTCAGACTTGACATGGTGTTTGGACGCCATGTAAAATCGAAAGAAGTCGACTTGGACTTTGCTTATTAAACAGTGCTTGTGGTCAAATGAAACGTCTGAAGGAAGGTGGATGAGTCGTAATCTTCAGGAACATGACGATTTGCCCCTCAGTTTTGCGTTTTATGTTCTCAGATTCATAGCTACCCTATACCCTAAGCCCTCAAGCAGTGACTTCACATTTATTTGGTGTCTGCTTAAGGATAATCAGTCACTTTCTTAGCAGGTAACTTCCTTAAAACCCTATTAAGATAGGTTAAGTCACAATTAGGATTTTGTCTAAGGCTCCTAGTAGCGGCACATTGCATAATAAGCTTAATGTTCATTTAGGGAAGCAAATCTGGGATGCTGAAACACTGGATGAAACGTAGTGCTTAGGTTTACATTTTGATTTTTGGACAGCTAAAAGTATCCCTAGGCTAAATTCATTAAGTACACATGATATTAGGATACTTGGCAACAGTATTTAAAAATAGTTGAAAAAGTGTTTGGGTAAGAATTCTTTCCGTCGTTTGAATTGCCGAATCTCTGGGTCTGAAACATCAACCTATCAAGAGTTTTAGACTTGGAGAAAATGGAGCTGGAGCCTATACTGCCTCAAGTCTCAGGGACAGCATTTGAAACCCCGTTAAATAATTCATCATGAGGATTAAACTTTCCTGTTACTACCATTAGTTTTGCTTGATACCAAGCACTGTTTAAGGGACTTAGCTCATCTTATCATGAGTCAAATTAACGTCATTGGGGTAAAAGTGCATTGAGTGTAAGGAGAGTACCTCTAAGACGTAGTTGACCTATGTCCCGTCCCTCAGCGCCACTTGGCTTAATCCAATCCCTGTCACAGTGTCCTCTGTAGTGGGCAAAGCTAACTTCTCAGTGGCCTGGTGGGAGAATTTCTTCTTGAGTAATTAAGTATTTTTCCAGGTTTTGTTGTTTTGGCCTTCCAGTTGTCTAACTTCAGCCTCATGGCCTCACTTCTTCATTTCAATTCAAAAAAATATTTGCTGGAAATTGCTGTGTAAGGTTAAGGGTTCTGCAGATACAGAGGTTAAGAGGATATAGACTTTTCGGCTGGGCACAGTGGCTCACGCTTGTAATCCCAGCACTTTGGGGGGTCAAGGCGGGTGGACACTTGAGGTCAGGAGTTCGAGACCAGCCTGATGAACATGGTGAAACCCCGTCTCTACTAAGAATACAAAAATTAGCTGGGCATGGTGGCGCGCGCCTGTAATCCCAGCTACTCAAGAGGCTGAGGCACGAGAACCTCTTGAACCCAGGAGGCGGAGGTTGCAGTGAGCCGAGATTGTACCACTGCACTCTAGCCTGGACGACAGAGTGAGACTGCGTCTCAAAAAACCAACAAAAAAGGGTATAGATTTTTCTTTTCCTCAAGCAGCTTGTGGTCTAGTGTGAGAAACTCATTTGTAGAAGAGTAATTACATTACAGTGTCATAAGTTTGATGATAGAAACATATTTAAGGTATGGACGTAGGAAACAAGCTGTGATTACCTGTTGGAAAGTCTTCCTATAGAATGTGGTCCTTGAACTGGTAAAAGACGAGTAAGAGTTTTTCCAGGTGGCGTTGAGTGTACAGGAAGACTAGGAAGGAGGAGGCTGGCATTTATAGTTGGTGGCATACGTGGGCAACAGGTTGAGAATTTGGTATACTCTTGCCATTGCAAATGGTAGAGGGCTTGGCTCAGACTGTGTACTGAAGGACTTGATGCCCTTCAGTGAGTTTTATCTGAGATACTCTGACCTGAACAGAATTTGAGATGATTGCGCTGGGTCCACTGGGATCACTTACGATCCTTCATGGGTCTTATGGATTCTCCATTAGTGCGTGCCAACTGAAACTTACAGAAAGGGCCTAAGCAGAGAACATGCTTTTTAGAGTACAAAGTGGTAGTTTTATTTGGTATGGCCCGTTCATTGTGCATCCATCCCATAGGCAAATGGTGATACGAAGCTTTTCCCTCTTCTGGTAAGCAGTAACCAAGTTCTGGAAGAAGCATACCATACAGCTTTCCCCGTTGCCAGGTTATGATGACACAAAGTCCAAAATGCATGTAAAGGTTTTTCACCAAGTAGAAAAGCAGAGAACCCCAACCAGTATAATGTGTCAGAATACTTTTCCCCTTAAATTGTGAAAGCACCACAGCGTTCAACATTTGGAAACCAACAAAATAATGAAAAGAACCTTTTTTCATGTGTATATTTTAAAAATCAGTTACATGTTATTTTTTGGTATTTCTAAAGTCAGAGACATTTTAGAAGTGAAATCCCTAGTAGGCTATTGTTTTACCAAGCACACTGAAGTTCCTCGAATACCGTTGAAGATGAGCCAGACACTTGTTCTGACACGTGTCTGGACGTCATGTGGTTGTGTTAATCATCTTGTTGATACTTGCTGTTAATTTGGTAACAATGAATTGACTACATACTCTCCCTTACTACTTTTTATTAGCATTCATATTAATCTTATTTCAAATCAAGGTTACGTCTTCATGTAATTTATAGAGTCAGATAATCCTAGAAAGGCTTGTAAGGAAGAAGTGCCAACGTCCTTCCCCTAATCGTGTTTCCTCCCCTGCAGAGTATCTACTTTAGCCTTAGTAGATTTCCTTGATCTTTGCCTCCAACTCTGAAGAGTGTATTTGCTTGACATCTATATTTGTGTCCCCCCACCCCTGTTTCATGTGATGTTTCTTCGCTTGACACTAAGAATAGGTAGGAAGTTCCTAGCTTTCTTTCACCCTCTGCCTTCTCAGTGCAAACAGATCCATGGCTGCCCAAAGTGATATATGCTTGGTTTGGTTAGTTCAGTATTGATTGTTTATATTATGACTACATACTGCCATTTGCAGCTGGACGAAGTGGTATAATAGGATTGTTTTCCCTTTTCTGGATAACTTTGTGTTTTCCTGGATTATTACAAGTGTTACCTGTTTTTGTTTGCTTGCTGCTTGCTCAGTTTTCTGTATTTTATCACTACAATTCAACCCCAAATTCTGAACCAATTGTCTAAATCTTTCAAGAAATTGTCTGATTTCTTTTGATGAAAATTAGTATTCCTATCATTTTATCTTGAATAAATCTCTTCCAGCGCCTCCAATCTGCTGCAGGCTTGTCTGTGCCTGGAATCTTGTAAAACTCATCACTCCCTCTTGTGTTGGAGCCTTACTTTTCTGGAACCTATGTTATTCTCTTTATTTTACTCTCTCACTTGCCTTCACTAATTGCCTGAGAGGTGCATGGCAGATGAAGTTTTGAGAATGTGTATGTACGAAAGTGCTTCATTCTGCTCTTATCCTGAGTAGGAGTTTGGACATCATTTTGCTCCGCTGTCTTTAAGCTTCCAGTGTTATTGAAGTCTTAAGCTGTTCTGATTCTTTTTTCTTTCTATTGATACATAACATTGTTAGAGTCTTTGTATGTGACTACCTTTTCCTCCATGAAACCTGAAGGCTTTTCTTTCTTTTTTTTCCTTCTTTCTTTCTGTTTCTTTTCTTTTGTTTTTTTGAGACACAGCGTCTTGCTCTGTTGCCCAGGCTGGAGTGCAGTGGCACTGTCATAGCTCACTGCGACTGCGATCTCTGGGGCTTGAGTGATGCTCCTGCCTCAGCCTGCCAAGTACCTGGGACTACAGGCATGCACCACCACACCCGGATAATTTAAAAAACTTTTTGTAGACATGAGCTCTCCATGTTGCCCAGGCTGGTCTTGAACTCCTGGCCTCGAGTGATTCTCCTGCCTCAGACTCCCAAGTACCTGGGACTACAGGCATGCACCACCACACCCGGATAATTTAAAAAACTTTTTGTAGACATGAGCTCTCCATGTTGCCCAGGCTGGTCTTGAACTCCTGGCCTCGAGTGATTCTCCTGCCTCAGACTCCCAAAGTGCTGGGAGTGAAGGCTTTGCATCTGGTCTCAGAGTCTTTTCTTTCTGCGAAATTCAGAACTCCCAGAACAATGATGTCCCGTGGAGACTGTTTTCATCCAATGTCTTGCCTACTTTTTGGTCCTGTTTCTTTGCAACTCTTGTTCTTCAATGCTGGGCATTTTTGTTGATTTATTGCTTTAATTTCTTCCTATTTGCTCTCTCTTTCTAGACTTCTACTCTTGGACCTTCTGGATTGGCACTCATAATTTTCTTAAGTTTTTTCTTTTTTTTCTCCCCCATCTAAGATTTTTGTTTTTGTTTTTATCTTATAAATCG